ATCAAGAACAGTTTTCGGTAAATGTTTGGGCTGGAATTATTGGAAATTACTTAATTGGACCCTTTTTCCTGCCAGAAGTGCTAAATGACCATAACTATGGCTGGTTTTTAGAAGAGGATTTGCCAATATTGCTAGAAAAACTAGCATATTTAATTAAGAACGGAATGTGGTTCATGCAAGACAGCGCGCCTGCTCACTTTAGTGTTGCAGTAAGAAAATATTTAAATAACACTTTTAATAACCATATTTAATTAGTTTTAGTTTATCGCACCCCAGTTAACACTTTCTGCGATTTAATAAGAAACACTGGAGGAATACTTCAAGGAGTGCGGCAATACGAGGAAAAGAGAATCTATCCTTCAAGGACACTTTCATCAACTTATCAAAAAGGTTGATATTAATTTATTAACAGACAATTTAGTTAATTAAATTAAATAGGAATCGTTTATTATTTATCTTGTTGTTAGAATGTTAAGTTATTTCATTAAAACTGTAGATGTAAAAATAACAGTCTTTTAATATATTTTTTTTCTTAAAGACTGTAGTCGGTAACTAAAAACTAGATATTAGATAATTAACCAAAATATTATTTGTTCATAGACAGTCAGTGACACGCCACTGATTTTCACTTAAAAATATAAACTAATTTCTCTCCAAATGAACGATTTTGTTATGACCATGCAGGGACGAGGTTTTAATTTTTTTAAGCTTAAACCGTAAAAAATGTGCCTCTTGATGTATGTGTACAAAATTTAATTAAAATGGTATTACAGATAATAAAAAAATATATTTTACTTTTCAAAAATTTACCACCCTGTATCTCGAAAGTTCAGACGTTTAGGACATTTGTTCATATGAAGTTTTCTTTTTAAAATAGACCCAAAACTGCCTTCTTTAATTATGGATATTCATTTAGAAAACACCTTGTAGTATTCTCTGCATATCTGCACGCTTTCTTCAAATAAGGATAGTAAATAAAAATTGAATAATATTGGACAATTAAAAATAAAGTATATTCCATTGTTTACGTTTATTTCTCTAAAGAACCCTGTATTCTGGAGGTAGTACCTCCATCAATGAGGATAAAGTTTTAGGCTCAATGAACTGAGACTAATTTCATTAGATCTTTCGAATGTCACTCGGAGAATCCTATATTCAGTTCGCTCTTTAGTACACTAGAAAGAAGAAAGTTCAAGGTATAATTCGTTTGGTACTATCAACGTGCCTACAACCACAGATAATCTTAGAGGCACAAGACGCATCACAACAGCCGAAATAATTTTAGCAAAATAAGGCCGACAGCCTTTAGCTTTCAAATTACATAGCAATCAATAGCAAAATTTATTTGGTCTGATCAGTTTTATCCTTGTTCAGCACTATATTATTAGATAATCGCTCCATTAGAGATACACGCCGAATTTAAGCTAAGCAAGCGCTCTCATTTTTTTGTCTTTCTATCTACACCATTGCTGAATAATTAATTTGAGTAACTTTTTCCATTATTAAAAACAATAAAACACTTTATTTTATCAATATGAATTAAATGAAATAAAATGAAAAAAATAATATGTCCAACAGTTAATACGGTCCAATTACAGGAAATATTGAATATACATCATATGATACATTAACTGCAGAGGAAGTGAAACTAATCTTGAATCCACTGATTTTAAAACCAAAAAATGAAATAAAAAAAAGGCTTTTCAGCACGAAAGACTCGACGCAACTCAAAGTTGCCTAAGTATCTTGTAGAGATCATCATAATATAAATCACAGTGTGATGATAATTTGTTGAAGGTAACAAACATATTGTAAATAGGGTTTTGAAAATAGATCAATCAATGGACCTGCGTAACTGTGGTAAGAAAGCTGATTGATGAAGCGGATTGAGAAGAGGCGGACAATCGGTTCCGTAATGAACTACCTTGTAGAGAAATGATACAGATTGCAAATCTAGTCAAGATAGTACCACCCATGCTATAATTAAAGGCTCTACAGTTTTTGTGCGGTGGTAATAAACCACATTAAAATTGCTGGTGATATAGTTTTAGGTCATCTGCATAGGTAAGCTTTTCGCAGAATATATTGAACAGAAGTGGTCCAAGCTTAGAACTCTGAGGCACACCAGAAGTTGGAACAAAAGAAGTTGAGCCCTCAATCTCAACGAACTGTCGACGGTGCACTAGATAGGACCTCAACACAATCAGTAAGTGATATGGTGAAATGCTTTACGGAAGTCAGTGTATATAACGTCAATTTGGCCTTGCTTGTTCAGGGAGTCACAGACACAGGGAACATAAGTTGGTGGATACATGATCTTTTCGCATAAAAACCATGTTGGTATACATGATAAATTTATATAATATAATCTCCAATATTTTTGAAAAATTGAAAGATCGAAATAGGTCTGTAATTTCCAACTGCGGAAGGTTGACCTTTTTTGAGAATAGGATAAACTTTGGAAATTTTCCAAGGTTCTAGATAAACACCTGTTTCAAATACCGGGTTAAAAATGTGACGCAAAAGAGCACTGCGTTTAGGAACAGTTTCTCACTATCAAACTTGGTATCCCGTCAGGACCGGCAGTCATTTTGTTTTTGGGTGCTTTGCTTGCTAACATCCTGGATGTGAAGGTTATGTAGTTTGATTAGATCGGATTTAAAGGACACGGATGAAGATGAATATAGATCTGGCTGAGATATCTTGTAAAAGGTGCCAAAGTACTTTGAAAAAGCTGCAGCAACCATACTAGGGTCATGGCATACCTCTCTACTCTGAATAAATGACCAGAAATTGGTAGCAGTATTATGTATGCTTAGCTCAGCACGAAGACCAGTTGGAATAGGCAATGGAACTTAATTGACTTGCACAATGCCGTGTATCTGCCCAAATAATAATAATAATGGTTTTTTAAAAATGTCGTTAAATTATGTTAGAGCATGTTGACATCCGAGCATTTCATAACACTTTTCCTGTCTGCATGCTGCATGAGCTCATACATATGAGGATAGTTGACCTTCCTAAAGTTATATTGAGTTTGATCCGTCCTATTGATTGGAAAATTAGAGACGTGTGGCAGAGGGACTCGAAAGAAAACGATTAACGAGGTGTGGTGTGTATAAAGATAAAATAAAAATTTATTTTGAAATTAGCACCTAATTTTTATGTTATTAAATTCCACTGTACATTTAATTTCTTATATTGGAATATTTTGTTTACTGCAAATTCGCTGGAAATAATCCATATATATATATATATATATATATATATATATATATATATATATATATATATATATATATATATATATATATATATATATATATATATATATATATATATATATATATTACATTTTTAAAACCTATTACTTGAAAATCCCTGTCATCATATTTTTTGACTGGCGAAACCCAAATATGAACTCACTAACGATGAGAAAAACTTACCTCCTATCAGATGTGCATTGTGAAGAGCTTTGTAACGGCCATAGCGACATGTTCGGATACCAAATTATAAATTAATACCTTAACAAGTCGGTTTTAATGTTGTAATCTTACCATAGGTAGGAAACTAAGCTAACGCCCGTCATTTTTAATGGAATCATTTTCAGAGACACCCCATGCATTTCAAATTTGAAATTATAGAGTCTAAACGCGTCCCTAAGATATCCATTTAGGAATTTATAATGAGACACCTAAGCTAATTTCATAAAAAAAATTGATACGAAAATTCCACTTTTGATTTTGAGCAGCATGTACGTCATGAGGCTGTCATATCACATTTTGACAGAACAATGTTTGTTTTGAGATCCAATGTGAGATCTAAAGGCAGGTTTATGCAAACAATATGAGTAATAAAAATTAATTCCCAACGTTGACTATTTTTTCCTTGTACATATCGAATGGTTCAGTTTAGCCGTTTCGTCGACTATTTTAGCCAAAAGCGTAAGAGCGGGTATTTCTATTGCATTGCCAGTGCGTAAGCAATGCACTCCATAACTACAAGAAAAGATTTCACTACTTGTTTGAACACTAAATTATTGTAAGCAATAAGAGACATCCTGTTTTGCACATTTGTGAAGATATCTTGCAAAAAATGTATATTATGCTTATGTTATATAGGTACTAGAGTTCAGTATTTTGTTCAATTTTATTGTTTGTCGTTGGTTATTCCCATAAGTTTTATAATTAAAAAATGTCTAAACTAAACAAACTCAACTTTTATTTATTTTAAAAATAAAAAGATAATTTTTTGACTTTTAAATAAACAAATAATTAGAAATTTAGAAGATGCTTGGTCATACATCATACATCATACAGGACAAGAAGAAACACTTAGAAGCAATTTAATATTTTGTGCAATCTCCCTCCGCAACAATCACAGCTTGAAGTTTTCGGCTCGTGGTCATGAAAGAAGTTGTCAAGTGACAATTCTTCCCATACCTTGCCATGGCTCGTAGCTGTTGTGCCCATGGCAAGGTTTCAATGTTGTCATTTTGAAGCCATTGTGTAATGATTGTTGTCTTATTGGAAAATGTAATCATTTTCCGGCTAAAGCTGTTCCACCTTGGGCACCATAACGTTCTGCAATATCTCGGTATAAGTGTGACCAACAATTCTTCCCTCAATCGATCATACCACTCCCATTCCTTTGGATGGAATTCATCCCCATACATTTACACTGAAATCCCCTGCACCTGTTGAAAAATCGAGGATGGAAACGCTGGTTGTCTGGTCTGTACTTCGATTTTACACTGTTTGGCATATTGATTGATTTTTTTTATTTGACAGTGACATGGTGGCCTATAATACACTGCTCAAAACTTTGAAAAAAAGTGCTTTAAGAGTCGTATCAGTTTTTTACCAAACCAGCCAAACGTAGTGAGAATAAATTTTAATTTGGCGCCATATGATTTCCAGACTCGTGGGTGCTTTTATACACGTAGTGCAGCAATAATTCGCCCTGTAGACGATTGTTGGTGTCGCATTACGAGCGCTTACCAATGTAATTACGGCACAGGCAGAGATCAAGGTTACGGACACGAGGAAAATCGACAATCTGAGGCACCTGCTCTCCGCTACGATTTGACCTGGGGGCGAACAGACCCCCGGCTCGTCCTGGGGGACGTCCGAAGGCGGACGCGGGCCGCAGCATCCATCCAACCAGCACAAATACACGAAAATCAGCAGTACCACGAATGTCGGAGCGATGGTGCCGTACAGCAATATTGTTCTGAAAAGGAAAACGACAGTTAAACACGATTTTTTTAAATTGGTCGGATGTTTCAAAAAATATGTAAACGTACTTCCTAAATTGATTAGATACGGCTTAGTTGAAATTTGGCAATGTCATTCATAATAAAGGGTTAGTTTTGCTTAATGTTGCTTTTCTGGTCGGAATTAAGAAACCGCATACCACTTCACATTCCGTCCTAATGGTATAGTATAGTATGATTACGACAAGTTTCCTGACCCCAGGACCACCAGCCAGGAAGTTCAAATAATTAATAATATTCCCTACGTACAAAAAAAAATTGGTTTACCATCCGTTGTACATTTTTATCATTTTCATGTTAACTTAAGTTCCATTAAAAAATATATAATAAAGGATTTTTTTTCGATGTATAGAACTTTAAGTTGGCATTACTGTTTAAGATCGCGACCGATTTAACAGCTGTCAAGTGATTTATTCTCAGTTTGCGTAAAACGAAATTGGCGTTGTTCCCGATTTTCATAAGCGAATTTTGTTTAGCGGTGAAGCGCACTTCTGGTTGAATGGCTACGTTAACAAACAAAACTGCCGCATTTGGAGCGAAGCTAATCCTCAAGTGTATGTCGAAACACCGTTACATCCAGAAAAACTGACTCTTTGGTGCGCTTTATGGGCTGGTGGAATCATTGGTGCGTACTTCTTCAAAAACGATGATGGCCAAAACGTTACAGTCAATGGTGATCAGTATAGAGCTATGATTACTAACTCTTTCATTCCTGAATTGAATAACCATAATGTCCAGGAGATGTGGTTTCAACAAGACATCGCAATATGTCACACATCTCGTGCCACAATCGATTTATTGAAAGACACGTTTGGTGACCGCCTAATTTCACGTTTGGGACCTGTGAATTGACCTCCAAGATGTTGTGATTTAACACCGCTAGACTTCTTTCTGTGGGGCTATGTAATGTCGCTGGTCTATGCGGATAAGCCACAAACGCTTGGCCATTTGGAAGACAACATTCGCCGTGTTATTGCCGATATACGGCCACAAATGTTCGAAAAAGTCATCGAAAATTGGACGTCCAGATTGGACTACATCCGCGCCAGCCGTGGAGGTCATATGCCAGAAATCATATTTAAAATGTAATGCCACAAGATTATTTTTCGGATAAATAAAATTCATGTCAATCGAATAATCCACCGTTGTTTTATTGCAACTTAAAGTTCTATACATCGAAAAAAAAACCCTTATAATTAAAAAAAACCATCTATTTAGTAGATATAAATAGGACGAGAATTTGCTTTGCAGGATTACGACAATCTTCCTGACCCCAGGGTCAACAGCCGAGAACTTAAAAAAATTGATAATATTCCCTGCGTACAAAAATATTTACGTTTACCATCTCTTGTACATTTTTATCATAATTCCCATTTTCATGCTAACTCAAGTTGCATTGAAGAATATATAATATAATTAAAAATCCCATCTCGTAGATACAAATAGGACGAGAATTTCCTTTGCATTATTACGACAATCTTCCTGACCTCAGGGTCAACAGCCAGGAACTTCAAAAAATTGATAATATTCCCCACGTACAAAAACATTTTGGTTTACCATATATTGTATATTTTTATTATAATGCCATTTTCATGTTAACTCAAGTTCCACTAAAAAATATATAATATAATTAAAAATCCCATCTCGTAGATATAAATAGGACGAGAATTTCCTTTGCAGGATTATGACAATCTTCCTGACCCCAGAGCCAACTGCCATGAACTTCAAAAAATTCATAATATTCCCTACGTAGAAAAAAATTTAGGTTTGCCATCCCTTGTACACTTTTAACATAATTCCCATTTTTATGTCAACTCAAGTTCCATTAAAAAATATATATAATTAAAAATATCTAAAGTAGCATTACTAACATTTATCTTTAGCATTAAGATACAAAAAAAACACATTGTTTAGACAGTTCAGAGGAATATTGAAGCTCCTTACAAAGAAAGTACAAACTATTAGCGCATCCAAAAGTAAAACGTAGTTCATTTGGTGGATTAGGAACGACTATTCGATATATTTCAGGAAATTTGGATTAAGATAATCTTAAAGGTATTATGTCTATCATGCAAATTCTCCAGAATGAGTAGGGCAAAATTAAAGTACAAAACTCAAACACTTTATCAGTTTTATTCTTTATGCAAGATACATTACTAATGCTTGAACCAACAAACTAAAAGAAAAATCAAGATTGCAAAAACTGGCCGTCAATGACCATTTTATAATCAAAAAATTTGAAGCTTATGTCGATAAACCCTATGTTTTTAGATACGTCCCATGTAGAAAAAGGTGAAGAGAGTTATATGCCCCAAACTGCAGATGAAACTCAAAGTTAAGCGAAAATAAAGCATCGCATCGAAAGCCTTATTTATTCAATTGTCATATTGTAAAATTATTCTTCATTATTCCAGCCTTTGTATCGGCTAGTCCGAATAAACCTTTGTTTTGCTTTCTGCATAAATAAATGTTTTTAAAAACGCTCTCCCGAATTTTGAACATTTAAGTGGCGCCGTGGGTAGGATTTTCTAAGTGCAGTAGTGGTGGACAATTAACCAGAATCTTCTAGGAGTTCGAAACTTTTGAACACTCGCCACATGGATTCTCAAATCCTTCAGGACGCACCACCAGCGGCAAGGGAAGCAAGACGACGGTCTACAAAGTTACAACCCGCATGTGACGAAAAAATATGTAAACGTACTTCCTAAATTGATTAGATACGGCTTAGTTGAAATTTGGCAATGTCATTCATAATAAAGGGTTAGTTTTGCTTAATGTTGCTTTTCTGGTCGGAATTAAGAAACCGCATACCACTTCACATTCCGTCCTAATGGTATAGTATAGTATGATTACGACAAGTTTCCTGACCCCAGGACCACCAGCCAGGAAGTTCAAATAATTAATAATATTCCCTACGTACAAAAAAAAATTGGTTTACCATCCGTTGTACATTTTTATCATTTTCATGTTAACTTAAGTTCCATTAAAAAATATATAATAAAGGATTTTTTTTTCGATGTATAGAACTTTAAGTTGGCATTACTGTTTAAGATCGCGACCGATTTAACAGCTGTCAAGTGATTTATTCTCAGTTTGCGTAAAACGAAATTGGCGTTGTTCCCGATTTTCATAAGCGAATTTTGTTTAGCGGTGAAGCGCACTTCTGGTTGAATGGCTACGTTAACAAACAAAACTGCCGCATTTGGAGCGAAGCTAATCCTCAAGTGTATGTCGAAACACCGTTACATCCAGAAAAACTGACTCTTTGGTGCGCTTTATGGGCTGGTGGAATCATTGGTGCGTACTTCTTCAAAAACGATGATGGCCAAAACGTTACAGTCAATGGTGATCAGTATAGAGCTATGATTACTAACTCTTTCATTCCTGAATTGAATAACCATAATGTCCAGGAGATGTGGTTTCAACAAGACATCGCAATATGTCACACATCTCGTGCCACAATCGATTTATTGAAAGACACGTTTGGTGACCGCCTAATTTCACGTTTGGGACCTGTGAATTGACCTCCAAGATGTTGTGATTTAACACCGCTAGACTTCTTTCTGTGGGGCTATGTAATGTCGCTGGTCTATGCGGATAAGCCACAAACGCTTGGCCATTTGGAAGACAACATTCGCCGTGTTATTGCCGATATACGGCCACAAATGTTCGAAAAAGTCATCGAAAATTGGACGTCCAGATTGGACTACATCCGCGCCAGCCGTGGAGGTCATATGCCAGAAATCATATTTAAAATGTAATGCCACAAGATTATTTTTCGGATAAATAAAATTCATGTCAATCGAATAATCCACCGTTGTTTTATTGCAACTTAAAGTTCTATACATCGAAAAAAAAACCCTTATAATTAAAAAAAACCATCTATTTAGTAGATATAAATAGGACGAGAATTTGCTTTGCAGGATTACGACAATCTTCCTGACCCCAGGGTCAACAGCCGAGAACTTAAAAAAATTGATAATATTCCCTGCGTACAAAAATATTTACGTTTACCATCTCTTGTACATTTTTATCATAATTCCCATTTTCATGCTAACTCAAGTTGCATTGAAGAATATATAATATAATTAAAAATCCCATCTCGTAGATACAAATAGGACGAGAATTTCCTTTGCATTATTACGACAATCTTCCTGACCTCAGGGTCAACAGCCAGGAACTTCAAAAAATTGATAATATTCCCCACGTACAAAAACATTTTGGTTTACCATATATTGTATATTTTTATTATAATGCCATTTTCATGTTAACTCAAGTTCCACTAAAAAATATATAATATAATTAAAAATCCCATCTCGTAGATATAAATAGGACGAGAATTTCCTTTGCAGGATTATGACAATCTTCCTGACCCCAGAGCCAACTGCCATGAACTTCAAAAAATTCATAATATTCCCTACGTAGAAAAAAATTTAGGTTTGCCATCCCTTGTACACTTTTAACATAATTCCCATTTTTATGTCAACTCAAGTTCCATTAAAAAATATATATAATTAAAAATATCTAAAGTAGCATTACTAACATTTATCTTTAGCATTAAGATACAAAAAAAACACATTGTTTAGACAGTTCAGAGGAATATTGAAGCTCCTTACAAAGAAAGTACAAACTATTAGCGCATCCAAAAGTAAAACGTAGTTCATTTGGTGGATTAGGAACGACTATTCGATATATTTCAGGAAATTTGGATTAAGATGATCTTAAAGGTATTATGTCTATCATGCAAATTCTCCAGAATGAGTAGGGCAAAATTAAAGTACAAAACTCAAACACTTTATCAGTTTTATTCTTTATGCAAGATACATTACTAATGCTTGAACCAACAAACTAAAAGAAAAATCAAGATTGCAAAAACTGGCCGTCAATGACCATTTTATAATCAAAAAATTTGAAGCTTATGTCGATAAACCCTATGTTTTTAGATACGTCCCATGTA